TTGAGTTCGCTGAACGCAGTCATTGAACATGTTGAACAGATGGAGTAAGTGTTGTAGGTAGAAATTGATTTAGTGCTATAAATTTTAGTGTTATAAATAATTTAATTCTTTTAAAGTTATCGTGACAATAAAGGAAATGTAATTAAAAGGATTAAAAGGTTTAAATTATTTATTAACACTGACAATATTATATATTGTTTATATGTTCCATAATTCTTAAAAGAAAGAATACTGTGTTTATTTCAGGACTACTGATGATAAACAAACATTGGCTGATATGTCTTTAGAAGATACGATAATTACTTCTGCTCGATTGACACCGACTAAATATTCCACGTCTCATGCGTCATATGGTATATAAATTGATTTGCATTCAATTGCACTCAATGTGCACAGTATTGCACTAATTTTCTCAGTGAAAAATGCTATAGAAGTATTCCAATGGATTAATTTATTGGATTTAATTTATTGGAATCATATCTGTCATCAAGCGAAATAACAGTGTGATTGGTCAATTTCAATTGCCGATTGGCATTATTATCAGCATCGCAAGATGATAAGTGGCAAGATTCTAATCCAGCTAATAATCCAAAATTGCATTTGTTATTCTGCGATTGGCCAATTTCAATAGACTAACCATCGATAACGTCGCTCAAAATTAATTAGTCGAAATGATCCTAAATATCAACTATGATTGGTTAATTCTGCTGAACAGCAAACTGCGATTGGTCAAGAATAGAATGACATAATAGTGTTAATAGCGTTTTTCCGAACACACTTATATTTATCAAAAGAACAAATCAAGAAAATCTAACCTATTATTTCATAAAGCTGAAATTTTATCTATATATATTAACGAGATGTATTGCCAAATGTGCTTAGGTATTCTCGCTTGTAAATCCGTTGTATGAGAGAACGTGAAAGATTCTATCAAGATTCGCTGTCATTTTTTTCTTTCTGCAAATACAGCTGTATTGTGTCCCAAGTATATCTATAATATTCTGTAACTTTTGGCGGTTAGAATTACGTTTGTATGTTACATATTTCTCCAAATTGACAAAATACTCTCGAGAATGTTGCAAAGGCCTTTAATCGTTTCGCTTAAAAAAAGGTAACCATAATAACGTGACCTCGAATTATTCGCGAAATTAGATTTGTACAAACTTGATCTTATCCTTCTAATAAAAAAAAAAAAAAAATACGAATGGAATACATTTACATTCCACAGAAAATTCATTATATATATTTTTACTTCTTATTTTTCAGCTCAACTCGCTCAAAATATCTCAATACCTGGCAAAGATGTAACTTCTCTTCCCAAAGAATACCTCTTGATTTAAAGGAAAATCATAAGAAAACCGTTACATCATTTCCACCATTAACAGAATCCATCCCGAATTTACCGAAAGCCGTTTATTCGACTGCGAAAGAGGAGCATCAAATAACACACATCACTGTTTTACCAAATGGTTTGAAAGTTGCATCTGAAAATCGATTTGGACAATTTTGTACTATAGGTGGTAAGTTGAGTATAATTTGGATATAGCGTTTTCGAACTGTAATGGAATTGCACTAATTTGAATTGTATTAATGATGTAATATGCTCTATTGATAGAGTATGTGTCAACTATTAATAGAACATTAATCCTAGATTAGTGCAAATCTGTTAAAGTCAAAAATACTAATACTTGTTAGATTTATATGTATGGATAAACAGATTATTATATTATTTTAATTTTCAGTCCTTATTGATTCGGGTCCACGATATGAAGTGGCATATCCCAATGGCATCTCGCACTTTCTTGAAAAGTTAGCATTTGGTGTAAGATTCTTTCATCACATTATTCATATCGTAGCATATAATAAGTATTAAAGATTATTGATCTCTACACACACACACACACACACACACATACACACACACACACACACACACACACACACATTTGTTTCAACAATTTACATCTTATTAATAGATATTCTATATTATATCATAATATTATTTATAATCTTTCTTAATTTGTATAAGTCACAAATATATACAAAATTATATTGTGTTAATTGTTACAGTCTACAAATAGCTTTGACAGCAAGGATAAGATAATGCTGGCACTAGAAAAGCATGGTGGTATATGTGATTGTCAAGCATCTCGCGACACATTTGTCTATGCAGCATCAGCAGAACGTCATGGATTAGATATAGTAACTCAAGTTTTGAGTGATATTGTCTTAAGACCTCAAATTACAGAGGAAGAAGTAAGTATAATGTATAATATTCTACAAAAAAAAATATTGTATCATGTTATGTAATTAAATTATATATCATTAATAACAAACTTTGAAACATTTGTGTCTTATACGCGCGCGCGGTGTGTGTGTGTGTGTGTGTGTGTGTGTGTGTGTGTGTGTATTTATATGAAAATAAATTTCCAGGTACAAATAGCTAAACAAACAGTACATTTTGAATTAGAATCTTTACACACCAGACCAGAACAAGAACCTATATTAATGGATATGATTCATTCTGTGAGTTTAAAGTAATAGTTTTTTTAAATACATCTTAGTGGAATTATAAGTGTATTTTCTTATTGTAAAGGAAAAAAGGATGTAATTATGTATTATATTGATAGGCTGCGTATAAGCAAAACACATTAGGTTTACCCAAGATCTGTCCAGAAAAGAATATTGAAAAAATTAATAGGAAAACTTTACATACGTATCTCAAGCATCATTATGTACCAAATAGAATGGTAGTTGCTGGAGTTGGTATTGAACATGATGACCTGGTCCACGCCGTTACTAAGTAATAGCCATAAATTTTCTATAGATGACAAATTTATTTAATTAAGTAATTTAAGTAATTCAATGCTTATAAATTTAAAAATAAATTTATTTAAAAATATATAAATAAATAATTTATAAATATTTTATAAGGTAGTTTTTTAGTGTAAGATTTTACTATTATTTTTATGTAATATGTTATTGTTATCTTATATTGTTATCCGCGATATATTGATATAGTGTTATAAACATTTTTTGAAATTTTTTGCTTATTAATAATAATAATATTATTATTTTTGATTTAGATATTTTGTAGATCAAAAACCTATCTGGGAAGAACAACCTGATCTTATTTTCTCAAGTAATGCAAATTCTGTCGATATGTCCATTGCACAATATACTGGAGGATATGTCTTGGTATGATCACTCATACTACATATAAAATATATTAAAATAATTTTATTTTTGTTGCAGAATTGAAGAAGATAAATAATCGGTGTGTGTTGTCTTTAATAGGAGGAATGTAATGTGCCAATTTACGCTGGACCCAGTGGCTTGCCTGAATTATCACATGTTGTAATAGGTTTAGAAGGCTGTTCTCATCAAGATCCAGATTTTGTTGCTATGTGTGTACTAAATATGATGATGGGAGGCGGTGGCAGTTTTAGTGCTGGTGGTCCTGGAAAGGGCATGTATACGCGTTTGTACACCAATGTGTTGAATAGGTAAGATTTATATTATTATTTATGTTTTATAAAGAAAGAGGTTTTTATATAATATAAAACAATTATATCTTTTCAACTCAATATCTTTATATCTTTTTCTATTAACTAGTAATTAAAATGTTATGAAAAAAGAGTAAATTTATAATTTATATTCATACAGGTAATAGATTATACAAATAATACAGATTTATCATACTTGCACTTTTTGAAATTTTTAATTGAGAACACTACATCTAGAAAATTATATTAAAATTATATTATAGGTATCATTGGTTATACAGTGCAACTGCATACAATCATGCTTATGCAGACACTGGTCTATTTTGTATTCATGCTTCATGTACACCGTCTCATGTAAAGGATATGGTGGAAGTAATTGTACACGAGATGGTCACCATGACAAGCGGAGTCTCTGATAGCGAATTAGCAGTATGATATTGATTCACATTTCTGAATCATTTATTAATATTAATCGTATTTTATACATATATTGATTACATTTTGGAATTTTATCTTTTGTGTAGAGAGCCAAGAAACAATTGCAATCGATGCTACTGATGAATCTAGAACAACGGCCCGTTGTATTTGAAGACATTGGTAGACAAGTCCTAGCGACTGGTACTAGGAAACGGCCAGAATACTTCATACAAACTATTGGTAAGTTTTGTAAAGTTCATTACAATTTAATGACAAAATTCCTGTTCTTAATATTCACAAAAAAATATAATGCTTGCAGATGGAATATCTAAGGATGACATCAACAGAGTAGCGCGACGTTTATTGAAATCAGCACCTTGCTTAGCAGCACGCGGCGAAGTAAAGGCTATACCTTCCATGGCGGATATTCAAAACGGCTTACTTGACGCGCAAGGTCGGTTACCTGGTTCTCGTAGCAGATTATCACTTTTTCGTTAAAATGCATAAGATATTCCAGTCTTCTCATCTTAAATAAATGTCACTTATCCATATCCAGTTGTATATTAATAAGAAGACACCGAACATTCAATTTTAAATTAAGTTGAAAATATAATACGGAATTACCAAAATAACTGAATTTTATTATGATATTATTAAAATTGTGTATTAAAAAATAGTATTATCGAAGATTTTAAATAATATATAATATGCAAAAAATGTTCCTTATGTATATTACATAGATTTTGTATGAAAATAAACAAAATTAATAAATTAGACATACAAAATAATTCGTTTGTCATTCAACAGCATGAGAGAAAGTAGACTATGCCATTAACCAGAAGCATAATGCAAGATACAAGAATAATTTCGCGCTAATTATGACGTTATGTTCAATAATGGATCTTATGTGGCGAAATCGCAGATGGGTGTTAAAATAATTGAAGTTTTGATATACTACAAAATTAAAGCTTACCAAATTTCTGATTAGAAGTCAACTTGTATTTTGGTAAATTATTACAAATAAATGTTATTTGTATAAATTATATACGCGTAATTATAATTAACAGATTCATCAATTTTTTTTTTGTATAGTTTCTTTTATTCTTGATTGATTAATACACATAAATTTGTGTACACATTGAAAAGACGATCCTGAACAAATGATTACACCTCTGCTTCCTCCAAGGTTTTGAGGAAAGAAGCTTTCTTTTGGGCAACGCGATTTTTCCTCTCGGACAGTGACAATTTCGCGCGATTCCATCTCTTCTTGATAACTGGTTTCTCCCTGGTGACTTTCGTGTGTTCAGGGTTAGCTCTGATGGCTTCGTGGGCTTTCTTGTATATATTCTCGATCTATTAAAAAAAAATTTTTTTATATTATCTCAAGTATATTCATATAATAGCATGTATATATGTAACACAGGTTTATTTTAATAAACACATTTAAATATGCATTTATCATTTAACAACCAATGAAAATTACTATTGTCCAATCGCGACGCTACATAGACTTGAATAATCTAAACAGCAATTTTTAATTGGACGTATGTATTAAAGTTATAAACGTGTGAATTAAAGTTATAGATATATTCACTATTGCAATGCATTACTTACATCATTCGCGGAGATGCCATTCTTAATATATTGTGAAAACTGTCTCTTGAAAGCTTCATCATCCTCCTCTTCTAAAGTTCTCATATAGTTTGCAACATGTTGAGCGAATATGTGTTGTCGATGCACATCTGCATTGAATGTTTTTGATTCGCCATCATAGCCAGGGAATCTCTTGGTACTATAAAACAAAACATAAGTTATTCAACTGAAATAAATTACATATTTTTGAAAAATCATATTAAAATACTAATCTTATTTTGCAATTTTACAGCAATCATTGTATCAAACACAAAAAAAGACAATAAATTTCAAAACTTAAATGATACACATAAACTAACATGTGTTTACATGTTAGTTTACATATGTTATCAAATTGTACAGAATTGATTTGACATTATATAATTGTTTTATTTGATTTTATTTATAAGAATAAGTTTGAAGTTTAAATTATAAAAATTATTAAAATAAATATTAAAATATATAAATAATCTTAACTTCTTAAAAAATTATTCAAAAAATTTCCTGTTTCATTACAACAATCGATATTATTTTATACAAATATTTGTTATTGGGTGGTTTTTGCTATGGGATATATAACAAGGAACAATCATGTTCTCTTTATAAAAATATCAAAGCAAACTAAAATAATTTCAAATATTGCATACTTACAAATACATACTTAAAAAATAGCAAGAGTACTAAAAATTTTTTACCTATGAGGGATATTGAGACCACCATCAACCGCACCTTTCATAGCACCGAAAACTCGGGCGCCCGTCGTGGTACGCATTAATCCGGTGTCCAGGTAACATCTAAATGCACCTGGGCCATCGTCCAATTCCTCGACATTGTACTCATCGCCAGTCACTTCTGTGGTACCCACGTATAAGGAGTCTAATCCCAGCTTCTTAAGAAGCTAAAAAAAGTTTCATGTTTGATTAGAAAATTGTTGATATTATTTTATACAAACATATTTGCTAGTTTTTGCTAATCAGGATATACAACAGGGAACACATCGTGTTTTCTTCATAGAAACATCAAAGCGAGCTGAGTAGATCATCATGTTAGTAATGTATAAAAAAAAACAAAGGAAAAAGAAAAAAAAGATTACTTACTCTCCTAGCCAGGAGCAAACCGGTGCAATAAGCAGATGCATAATTGGTAAGACCAACTTTAACTCCATATTTAGGAAGTTCATGGCTGTAAGCAGCACATACAATCCTATCTCCTTCAATTCTTGAGTAGGCAACCTTGTGTAATATATGTCATTAATCATTAATTACAATTATCTTTACATAAGTTTAATTATATCACATAAAAATTATAACTGTAAAATGTTATTTTCAACCAATCGAGCCTTTGTTCAATTATAATTGAATTTAAGTATATTATTTCAAATTACCTGACATGTAATATCCTTGTTGGACAAACGTACAATCAACCTATACTTAGGTGTATTGTACTTGTTCTTGTCCTGAATAGTCAGCCGCTTACGAGCATAATAATCAGTCTTTCCTTCACGACGCCTCTTGAATTTAACTTGGTATCGTTTGAAGTACTGCTTATTCTTAACTACTTTGACAAAACCCTAAAAGATCATGTAACTGTTAAAACAAGAATGAAGATCAAATGTTTCAAATTGCTTTTCTACTGTATTCAGAATAAGTCAACAGGGTAAAAAGGTTTTCTTTTCATTTCTGTATCAAAGTGAGCTGAAGATTTCATCATAGAAAATTTATGTGTGTTTAATATTCACACTATTTATCTCTCTTTAATAAGCACATATTTGCAGTGTAATTAAATTAAAATAAAATTCAATATTATGTTCGTAATTAATTTTAGGCCTTTTTAGGTTCTTTATAACTGAACTTCTTGCATTTCATCTCTTTTCTTTTTTTTTTTCATGGAGAGAAAAAGAAGATCGATAATGCTCCAAGTTCAGATAAAAAAAGTTTCCAATTATGTGTGAAAATATAATCTGTATCATATAACAAAAGAAAAATTCACAAAAAATATGAAAATATTATCTTTAAATATGAATATTTAAGATCATATTTTTAGGTAGTATTAACTCTACATATATAAAAAACATGTGCAGATTTTTCGATAGACGTTTATTCTAACCGTTTTAACTATGCAGCAAGTGAATCTTTCCGAAAAATAAGCATCTCGCTTTCTCGTTAATTTTCAATTAATTATTTGTGTATATTACAGTTTATTTTATCAAATAAACGTTATATTGAGAAGAAGTAACTTACCATTATGTTAAAATTATATGAAAAATCTAATCCCCGAAACAATCCGTACGATAACGAAGGCAGAAAGGAAAGAATGGAGCAGAGCAAGGAAGATCAAGGAAAATATAACAAAATGGCGTATGATCGGACAACTCCGACACTCCCTCAATTCAATACAGCGATATTAGCGACAATCGGAGTCAACGGAGGTCAGCAGTAACAAAGTGATGAGTAAAATTGGCGCCTTAAATTAAAAATTCATAAAATCACATCATATATGTAATCATTCAATCAGTAACTGAAAACTTAAAATATTGCTTCTAGCAATTAAAAAAGTTGAAATTATTTCTATAATATTTGCTACATAAATACCATCTTGATCAAAAAGTTCCCGGAATTACCACTAGGTAATGCTCTGAGTCAGCTGATTTGAGTTCTGTTTTTTTGGTTAGGTTGCCACATCTATCATTGACATTCCCACCAAATTTTATCACCATAGCTTTTGTAAAAGTTACGCCGTCTTGAGTACATCTATCTCTGCACGTATTTTCGATTTTTTACAGTTTTAAAAATGGAGTTGAATTTGCAACAATGAGTTTGTATTTAATTTTGCGTTAAAAATGGATTCAATGGTGTGAAACTTTGAAAATGTTGGGAAACTGTTTCGGCAGTGATACTCTAAAGAAAACAGCTGTTTATGAGTGGCATGAACGCTTCAAAAGTGGTCCGTCGAGGATGACGAACGCAGTGGCAGGCTGTCGACATCGAAAACCGATGAAAACATCAATAAAGTGAGAGAAATGTTGATCAATAACCGCAAATTAACTATCAGAGAGTTGGCAGAGGACTTAAACATTGCTTATGGATCCATTCAGGACATTGTAGTTAATGGTTTGGGTTTGCGCCGTGTTGCTGCAAAGTTGGTCTCGATGGAACTGAATTTCATGCAAAAAAGGGACCGCATTGTCTTCGCCAAAGACATGATTTCCAAGGCTGAATCCAATCCAACATTCATCAAACGCATCATTACTGGAGATGAGACGTGGGTTTATGAGTACGACATGCAATCCAGACATCAGGCGAGTGAATGGAAAGCTCAAATGAGCCAAGACCAAAAAAACCATGTCGTTTTCAGTCGAAAAAGAAAGCGATGCTCACAGTTTTCATGGATTACAACAGTATTGTACATCACGAATTTTTGTCAGAAGGTCAGACAGTTAATAAGGAGTATTATTTGGGCATTATGAGACATTTGCGTGAAGCAGTTCGCCAAAAAAGAAAGGATTTGTGGGCAAACAACTCGTGGATAACACACCGTCGCACAGTGCCATCATTATCCGTGAATTTTTGACCAAGAACGAAACGAATACCATCCAACAGCCATCGAATTCACCTGATATGGCTCCCTGCAATTTTTTTCTGTTCGATCAAAAAATCATTACGGGGAACGCGTTTTAACAGCCGAAAGGAGATAATGGAAAAATCGAAGACGGCTCTGATGGCTATACCGACAATAGAGTTCCAGAAATGTTTCGAGAGCTGGATCAAGCGCTGGCATAAGTGCGTTGCAGATAGGGAGTACTTTGAAGGGGACAATATTACTTTTGATGAATAAAACTTGTATTTTGAATTTTCTGAATGAATTCCGGGAATTTTTTAATCAAGGTATGTAATTAATGTACTAAACAATAGGAATTAATTCTTAAAAACCATACATTTGTTACAGCTTATTTTTGAAATTTTTACTTTATTCATTATTTGTACATACATTTTATTATCTGTTGTGTATACAGTTGTAGAATTATACAAATTGTACTTTTGTTTCAAATATGTTTAATAATATGTTTAAATATGTAAATATGTTTAATAATTAAAAATTGTGTTTTGCATATTAAACGTATTGTATATATAAAATATGACATAAAGACGTTATAAAATTATTTAATTAAATAACTTAAAAAAAATATCTTACATAAATTGCAATAATAATGAATGTCTACACCTTTTTCGCGAATTTATGTATAGAATGCATCACTGACATATCATCTCGTTCTACTAACCATTGCTTGAGAAGAAGTTCGATTCTCTTAGCATCAATCTGAAATAGTGCTAATAATAATA